GTTTTGAGTAATGAACAAGGCTGGGAGTTTTTAAAAGCCTCAGGAATCTTTTGCAGGTGTTTAGAGTTACGTCGTTGATTCAGATGGTTAGGTTAATAGCTTGTTTAGAGAACCTTTTCATGATATGCTAATTTTTTGAGAAGGACCTGTATATTCTGATTTACCTCATTTTGTATTTTGCTTTGTGTGTTACCTGTTGTTCTGTCTGTACAGCACTTTGGTTGGCTTTGTAGCTGTTTAAGTGCTTTATAAATAAAGTGGTATGGTATGGTAAATAAATCAGAATGTCTTTATTGTCATTATATGCAAATACAATGAAATTATGAATTAATTACAATTACAATTAATTAAACTTAAAATAAATAGTAAACACAATGATGAGGACAACAATTATGCATTAAGATTCTGGGCTGTTCCAAGAAAATCTTGGAGGCATTTGACTTTTTAACAAAACAAACAACATAAACGTAGAACCTGAATCATATCCAAACTCGGAGGAAAGTAAAGACCAGTTAAAAACATAAATGCCTTCAAACTTTAAAGACACACATTTTCACAGAGAAAGGTTCATCAAAAATCCAAGTGGAGACCTGCAGAAACCTCATCATGGATCAGAAGAACAGTTTAATTGGAGCAGATAAATGGGTAGTGACAGAGAAAGATGATCCCTGTGTTAGGTATGACATTTTAGTAAAAACACATTTGATATTCAGATTAGATATATGTATAAGATTTATTTATCTGCAGTTTGCTGTTCTACTACAATCATTTCTCCATTTTACATTATTCATCTGATGGTCTGAAGTAAAAACATTGACTTACCACCAATCACATTTTACAGCTAATCTTCCCTTTTGAACCAAACCTTTTAGGGGAAGCACTCATTATTTCACATATGCAGCAAAAATGTGAAGGTGTGTTTTGATTTATTTTTATTCTTGGACCTAAAGAGAGAAGTCAAGGCAAAACTCCAGCAGATAAATTATCTGAGAGAAGTCAGGAAAGATCACTGTCTCTCACCCAGAAAAGGAAAATCCAACTTCAGCTCATTTCGTTGCTCTTGTTATGTGTAACTGTCCTGATTCATTCATAATCTGTAAAGTGGGAAATGTATAAATTAAGTCAAATTTATTTATAAAGCACATTTAAAACAGCAGCTGTTACCAAAGTGAAGGCGTGTTTTCTGCCTGTGCTGCTCTTTCACTCAACATTTTCCCACTTGCATTAACGTCCATCTACAGTTTTATTTTTTCTTTAAAAACCTGCAATGCTGACAAGGTTGTGACCACTTTCTGTCTCTTGGACGTGTGTTTTAGTCTAACTAGATGTGCTTTAGGGATGTTAGTCTGCTTCAAGTTCATGAAACACACACCTCACACACATCAACACACACACATCACAAAGCATAAATCTGAGCTATAAACATTTTAAATTGTGTCACTCAAGTTGAGAATTGCCTCAGATGAGCAGCAATAAACTGACTTTTAAAAGTCATAACTAAGGAAAAGGAAATGTTTCCTGCAGACTGAGCTTAACGGTGCAGTGTATGTTTGCTGGTTGAGAATGTTAATGTGAAGCTGCAGTGTGTGTGTGGTGGTGGTGGTGGTGGGGTTTACAGTCTTCAAAGATGAGATACAGGTTCCAGAATACGAGATGATGGTGGTTGGCCACACCGAGAAATGCTAGTTTTATGAAACTTTCTGTCGTTGCAAGTAAAAAATGGTCTGATCTTACGCGCTAGAGTTCTTTTTAAACCATTTTATCGAGTAGTATTTTTAAGCTTCTTTTTTCTAAATATAGAAGAAAAGCAAAAGTCCCAACAGAAGATAAAGAGCACCGTGCGCAGACAGTTCCATGCTCTTTAATAATCATTATTCTTCTTCTTTCGGCTTTTCCCTCTTCAGGATTTTCCACAGCGAGTCATCCTCCACCTCACTCTGTCCTCTGCATCCTCTGTCCTCACTCCAACTACCTCCATGTCCTCTCTAATTGCATCCATATATCTCCTCTTTGTCTTTTTCCTGGCAGCTGCATTTCTAGCATCCTTCTACCAATATACCCACTGTCCCTCCTCTGGACATGTCCAAACCATCTCAGTCTGGTCTCTCTAACTTTATCTCCCAGTTCAACCTATGCTGTACCTCTGATGATCTCATTCCTGATCTTATCCATCCTTCTCACTCCTAAGGAGAATCTCAACATCTTAATTTCTGCCACTTCCATTTCTTTCTCCTGTCTTTTTGTCCATGTCTCTGTCTCCAGACCAGACAACTAGATGGTCTCACCACTGTCTTGTAAACTTTTCCATTGACCTTTGCTGACACCCTTTTGTCACAACTCTTTAGTAATTGTGACTGGTGAAATTTTCACAAATATGTGGAAAAAATCCCATGTACTGCCATTTTAAGTCCGTTTAGTTGGGGTGTAACAGTTCGTGCACGCACACTGAACCATTACGGTACAAATGTCTACAGGCTCATTGAAGTAAACAATGTATTAGTTACAGGTGATCACCTTGCTCGTGTAGAAGTGGGTGCACATTATATTTAACCATGTTTTGCTGTGACCACAGCAGAAAAGAAGTGGAGGGAGACATTTAAATAAAACAGAGGATAAGTGGCTGATTCAAAGAAACAAGAAGAAGCTTGTTTGTTTCTAACCTGCTGTATGGAAAGTCTTCTGCTTGTGATCTGCAGGAGTGGCTGTATGGCAAGCAGTTATGTTATACAGTAAAGGCAATATGGAATACTATTTGTGTATTTATTTGATATCTCTGAAATCAAGGGTAATTTTCCCACACTAGCAGTCAGCTGGCTTTGAGCCATGGATTGTTTATTTAAAATAAATTATTTTAAATGATTTGGCACCTGCTAAATCATTAGTTGCAGGGAGAAGTTCCCTCTGTCATGAACACCGCTGTCTGCCACGCCCACATTTCTCCTCCATGCTGAAGCAGCTTTGTGAAGGGTTAACCCTTTGCTGTCCATATGCACCGATCAACTTTTGTCTTCCGACTTAAAATTGAAAGTAAGTTACATTGTAAAAATCACCATAATTACAAAATATAAAAGTGTTAAAAGTTATTTTTAATTACTGTAGAACTTCTATGTTCAGTTGTTTCAATGTAATTGATCAAGAAGTACATTTCTGCTCCGTGCTGCATAGCTGAAGCTGCGTGACATCCTGTTGATGTCCTGCTGCACTTCTCTCCTCTGCAATTAAATTTAAATAGTGTAACATTTTAAATAAACAATCCATGCTGCATTTATTGTGTATTTAAAATTTGACAGTATTTCTGTTTAAATTGTTTATGTACACAGAAGAACGGAGACTGCTAGTGAAACTGGTGGTGGCAGAGAGCTGAAATTAAGGGTTGAACGAGTATATAATTTTTAAACTCGACATTAACATAATAAAACCCGAGTAGAATTCGAGTATTTGATGACATCATAGATCTCAAGATACAAAAATAAATAAATAAGTAAAACCGCAAAAAAAAGGTAATTATTCACAACAAAAAAAAGACCAACAAAACATTGGGAGCGTATATTATGCTCCTACCATTTATCATACTGCAAACAAGTCACAGGAAAAACAAAACTATTAGTTATTATTATTAAACTGCAAACGTGAAGAAACGTGGACGTCAAAATCGAAACTTAACCGAAACTGGTTCGGTGGATTGGACCCGGTGTTACACCATACTCTGTGACCTGCAACAGTGCAACACCGCCCCCTACGGTCATACGGTGGTCACATAATATGACATCACTACGGCTACTCGATGTTAAATTTTTAACCTCGATAGATGTCCTAGCAATCGATGTGTAGATTACTCAAGTACTCTGTTAAGGCCCTAGCTGAAATCATGACATTCTGTGCTCTATTAGAGCGTTTAGAGTTCAGAAACATTGTTTAGAATATTGCAAGAGTGTGGGAAGGGTTTATAAAGCCTTTCTCTCTCTCTCTCTCTCTCTCTCTCTCTCTCTCTCTCT